CCAAGTGACCTTGAACTCATAGAGATCTACTTGCCTTTGCCTCCCGAGTGCTGGGATTAAAGGTGTGCGCCACCACCGCCTGGCGGGGCTTGTTTTTCATTCAGCTTCTGGTTTCCATAATTCTGCACCTAGACCCTGGGTTCCCTTTGGAGAAGGGACCCTATTGAATGAGACATAGGGTCTAACATGTAGAGGACTAACACGTGATTAAAGCCAATTTCCATACTTGCTTTTTTTTTGTTTGTTTTTTGATGCAGGGTCTTACCTTTTAGCCCTGGCTGGCCTGCTCACATGGATCTGGCAGGCTCTGCCTGCAGAGGGGTGGGATTACAGTCATGGTACCACCAGACTCAGCTCCATACTCTGTTGACTCAGATGTCCCTGTCCTGGCCTCCTTCCCTGCAGGAATTGAATATAACATCATCCGGGTACCCATGGCCAGCTGTGACTTCTCCATCCGTATCTACACCTATGCTGACACCCCTAACGACTTCCAGTTGTCCAACTTCAGCCTCCCGGAGGAAGACACCAAGCTCAAGGTGGGCATTGGTGTTGCCGTCTGAGGGCCGGGAAGGTCCAGGTTAGAGCTCTCTGCCCATCCTGTGGAACCCTTCTCCTGCAGCCTGTTTGACCTGGGGGTAGGAGGGTGGGGGTTGGTGCTTGGACCTGATGCACTGGTTGGGCTGGTTTGTGTTCCAATTCTGGGTGTCTCTCTCTTCACGACTTCTGTCTCCAGATACCCCTGATTCACCGAGCTCTGAAGATGTCCCCACGCCCCATCTCACTCTTTGCCAGTCCCTGGACATCACCCACTTGGCTCAAGACAAACGGAGCAGTGAATGGGAAAGGGTCACTCAAGGGTCAGCCGGGGGATATCTATCACTGGACCTGGGCCAATTACTTTGTCAAGTAAGGGATCATTGGGGCATGGGTTCGGTACCAACCTCCCTTCTGGACACCTTGGTCTATATCCTACCCCTTGGCCCACTCCACGTCTGGATTTGCATCTCAGCTCATCTTTCTCCATTGGGTGGCTTTCATGTTGTCGGTTTCACCTGTTCCCAAGGTCTTGGTCCGCTTTCTTGGCCTTGATCACACACTCCCTTTCTCTCTTCCCAGGTTTCTGGATGCTTATGCTAGGTACAAGATAAAATTCTGGGCAGTGACAGTGGAGAATGAGCCTACTGCAGGGCTCATAACTGGGTACCCCTTCCAGTGCCTGGGCTTCACTGCTGAGCATCAGAGAGACTTCATTGCCCGGGACCTAGGGCCGGCGCTCACCAACAGTTCTCATGACGTCAAGCTACTCATGCTGGATGATCAGCGCTTACTGCTGCCCCGCTGGGCACAGGTGGTAAGGTCCAGAACTCCCCAGGGTGCCCCAGGGGACCCCAAGTTACCATCCAAAATGACTGGCTACAATTTTAGGATACCTTACCTAGCCCAGGGTTGAGATAGGGTCTTGCTATATACGCCAGGCAGACCTTGAAGTTGTGGTCATCCTCCTGCCCCTTACATGCTGGGATTATAGGCATGTGCCACCACCACCTGGCTTTTTTTTTTTTTTTTTAATTATTTATTTTGAGACAGGATGTCACTATTTAGCTCTAGTTGGCCTGGAACTCTGTAAACCAAGTGACCTTGAACTCATAGAGATCTACTTGCCTCTGTCTCCCGAGTGCTGGGATTAAAGGCACATACCACTCTACCTGGCCTCTCAATCCTTTTTTATGTACTTGTAGGGGTAGATGTGAGCCTTCAATGACAATTCACCAAGAGCAGCTGAGTTTGGTGTGTTCTTTGCTTTGTTTTGGTTTTTGAGACTAAGTCTCTCGTCAATTAGGCAGGCTTGCCAGCCCCTAAGCTCCAGGGATCCACCTGTTCCTACCTACCCAGTCCTAGGTTCGCAGGGCCTTGCGTGGATGTGGTGCTGGAGATCCAACACAGGTCCTCAGCTGCATGGCAAGTACTTGACCAGCTCCAAAGACTCCTGGAACAGCCCGGGCTGGATCTGGCTGCCCAGGCACTGCTGTCCCTGGACTCGCAGGTCTCTGTGAATCCCTGACAGTCATTTTAACTTCAGTTCTTCCATCCCACCACTTCTCAGGACACGTAGCTCCTGTCTGACCCGCTGGGGGACCGGTGGCCAGGGCCCCCTTCCCATGCTCCCCCCTCCTCTCTGCAGGTGCTGTCCGATCCAGACGCAGCGAAGTATGTTCACGGCATTGCTGTACACTGGTACATGGATTTTCTGGCTCCAGCCAAAGCCACTTTAGGGGAGACACACCGCTTGTTCCCCAACACAATGCTCTTTGCTTCAGAGGCCTGTGTGGGCTCCAAGTTCTGGGAACAGAGTGTCCGGTTGGGCTCCTGGGATCGAGGGATGCAGTACAGTCACAGCATCATTACGGTACGCCGCCCGTCTCCCTTTCCCACAACAGACCACCTGAGACCCTTCTCTAATCTCATAAAAGGCAGACAGGCCTTCCTTCTCAGCTGGCTTGGCAGCTTTCTCTTTGGGGCAACTGTGGGATGCCATGGCTATCTTTTTTTTCATAGCTGTGTATCTGCCATCCTTCTTTCTCTTCATGTTTGGGGCCCAGGCAGTCATATCTGCCTCAGATTTCTCAGCTCCGAGACGCCTCCATCTCCGCAATCCCTGTCTCAGATACGGAGACAGAACACGCCTTCAAAGGAACAAGCCACCCCTAACCCTGAACCCCCTTGTGTGATCTTTTTGCCTTTCTTCTCTGGGGACACCCACTTCGAACGTTTGCCCTTGCTTCCAGAACCTCCTCTACCACGTGGCTGGCTGGACTGACTGGAACCTTGCCCTGAACCCTGAAGGAGGGCCCAACTGGGTCCGCAACTTTGTCGATAGCCCCATCATTGTAGACATCCCGAAAGACACGTTTTACAAACAGCCCATGTTTTACCATCTCGGCCACTTCAGGTGAGTAAAGGGTGGGCATCCCCATTCCACATGAGGCCTATCATCTGTATCAGGCTTACATCATCCTGTATCATGAAGGAGCAGGAAGGTGTGCAGGGTGGCAACCTAGGAGGGGCACACTCCTCCTCTATTGCACCATGGAGGCAGGAAGTGACTAGGTGGCATCAGAGCCACGATAAGCCCTGGGTGACTGATGCCAAGAGTCGTGATGCAGGAGCAGAGCTGAGGCCTAGAGTTGACGGTCTGACTGTGGCCCAGGGAAGCCCGTCATTTCCTCTTCCCCTGTCCGGGTCTCCCACATAGCTGGGCTACAGTTGCACATCCCCAGGCAGCTTTGATAGGTCTCATGAGCAGAGAGGATGCTGGGGAAAGCTTGATGGGCCAGTGCCCTCGGGGGTAGAGTCCCTGATGGTGCCTGTCTTCACATTCAGCAAGTTCATCCCTGAGGGATCCCAGCGAGTGGGGTTGGTGGCCAGTGAGAAGAACGACTTGGAAGCGGTGGCCCTGATACGCCCTGACGGCTCTGCAGTTGTGGTCGTGTTAAACCGGTAAGCTGGGTGCGAGGGCAGGTCTGGGCCTGAGCAGCGTCGGGTGGCTGGCCACAGCAGGTTGATTCCCCGCTTTTCTTCTCTCCAGCTCCTCTAAGGACGTCCCTCTTACCATCAGTGATCCTGACCTGGGCTTCCTGGAGACCGTCTCACCTGGCTACTCCATCCACACTTACCTGTGGCGTCGCCAGTGACGGAGCAGATCCCGACAGGCCCTGGGCTTAGCACGGACATTAAAGGGAGTTAGCTCATGTGTGTCTTGTGACTAGAGAAGGCACAGCAGGGCCTGGGGCCTCACAGTGACCCCGTGCAGGGGCAACTGTTGGGGGTCTTAGTCTCCCTTCTAGTATGTGCTGGGGGTGGAGGCCTCGGGTCCTCACAATTTCCCATGCTTGGAAAGTGTGCACCGCGTACTAGTTGCATGTGGAAACTGGGCCCAGGTCTAGGGTGAGTTCACTGTGAAACACAAGCTAGGGATGGGGATGACTTGGGAAGGTGGACCTAGCCGAGAAGCAATGCAAGTCAGCAATAGAAGGACTGAAGCAGTTCTAGAGCCCAGCTGTCAGGGCTACACCTAAGCATTTTTTTTTTTTTTTTTTGGTTTTGCAGGACAGGGTTTCTCTGGGTAGCTTTGCACCTTTCCTGGAACTCTGGAACTCACTCTGTAGCCCAGGCTGGCCTCGAACTCACAAAGATCCGCCTGCCTCTGCCTCCCAAGTGCTGGGATTAAAGACGTGTGCCACCACCGCCCGGCTCTACCTAAGCATTCTTATTGCAGCAGCTAGGAAAATGGCAGCCCCACAAAGAAGAAAATGATCTCAGCGTGAACAGCTTTATTCTAAGGAGAGCACCCCATTTTTGGCTGCTCCAACAATGGGGCATCTGGAATGCATGACAGTAGAAAAATCAGTCCTAAGAGCATGAACCCATCATTCCTCTTCATCTTCCTCGGCCATGCCCAGGGCCCGGGTGCTCGGGGCCCGAGCCGGGGTGGCCCGCTGGATAGAAACGATGCCACTGAGCAAGGCGTAGCCCACCATGGCTGCCAGCCCTGCTAGCACAGACAGGATCTGGTTCCGGCGTCGGTAGGGCTCCTCCTCGGTCTCAGGGGGTGCTGGCGTCTGGCGTGGAGGTGGCACCTCAGCTAAGGGGCAAGGAAGGAAAGTGGGCAAGTGAGGCAGACCCCAGGCCTTGGACCCCAGCCCATCCTCCCCATCCGCTACCGACCTCCGTCTCGGGGGAAGTAGAGGTTAAGGATGTGGGTGCAGTAGACGCAGAGGTTGTGCAGCCCGTGAAGGTGGGCCTGCAGCTTCCCACTGGGCAGCTTCGCCTGCAGCAGCAGGGCCAAATGGCTGAAGACAAAGGCATCCAGGGAGGCAGGGCTGCAGAGACAGGACAGGGCGGGATGCAAGTGGACAGCTGTGCAGGGTCAGCGTGGAGCAAGAGGGAAAGTCTGCTTTGGTGGGGTGGGCTCTGGGCAGCAAGGGCTCACCGGGGGTGGGGAGGGCAGGGCCCCGAGCTCTGGACTGGGTAAGGGGAGTTCTCCCCAGGTGGCGCCAGCCTGGCCCTGAATGAAGCGCTCTCTATCCCAGGGCTGCATAAAGGACACATTGAGTGGCCCACAGGCCAACAGTCTCCTCCTGTGCCTGGCTGCTCTCCCATCCCACCCTCCTGTACCACCAAGGAGCTTCCAGCCCCACACACAGCCCCGTCACCGGTCGGTGTCTGTCCTAAGAACTTCTTGTTCACACCCCAGCTCAGGCTTCGACAGCTGAACCGTGTTTTCTTTAAACATCCATTCGTTCCCTTGAGTTAGACTCACGCATCGCCAAAGAAGAACTTCTGAGGGCCCAGCCGTTGGGAGAGAAGGGTCAGGCACTCCCGAGCCTCTTGATACAGCTGTAGGGAAGGACACAGGAGTGTGTTTGGGGGAGCTGACACCTCGTGTCGTGGACACTCTCAGCCTCAGCCGTCATCTTGGGGGTTCATCTCATTTGTTCCCATGCTACCTCCTTCTCTAGTTCTTCCTCGTTCTCTGGCTTGTGCTCGCCACACAGCAGCTGCAGCCGCTCCATGTACTGGCGCTGCATGCGGCCCGGCAGGAAGAAGTTGAGGGGAAAGGGCATAGCCTCTGCATACCACTTCCGGGTCACTTCCACATAGTTCTTGGCATCTATCCAGAAAGTATGTATCTGGGTCGGGCAGACAGAAAGGAAGAGAAACTCTGAGCCCGCGCACCTGCCCATCCCAGGTGGGGGTCTCAGTCCCATGCAGCTCTGAGGCGTGTCTCTGCCCCCTTTCTCACAGGCTGGGAATGCCAGGCTGGGCGTACTCACTAGTACAGGGAGCAGTTTCTCCTCCAACAGAGACATGAAGGCTAGGGTATCCGCTCCTTGCCGCGCTGACAGATCATAGTCGGCATTATACTTCTGTGGGAGAAACGTTCATGAGGTGATGCTGGAGGGCTGCACAGGCACTTCCCCCCCCCCGCCCCCCCAGGACCAGCCTCTGAGCAGAGTGGAGGCAGACTAGGGAGCTTTTCCTCGTGAGGCCTCCTTGCCTCAGCCCAGCCAGTAGCCTGTTGCTGTTGGCAGAAAGCCTGGGCTTTGGAGCCCACTGGCTGTCAAGGTCCTGCACCCACTGGGGGGAGGGAAGAAGGCCTGGCCGCAAAGCGGGAGCAGTTCCCCGAGTTTCCACGGAAAGCTGGCAGGGCGCCCGCTGTCAGCAACTTTCTGACGGTGACTTCCAGACACCACAGAGCCGGCAAAGCGGAGCTCCCCTGCGGGCTGGGCCTCAGCCCGAGACTCAGAAACTAGGGGGCACCATCCTTACCCGCCTTGAACCCAGGAAATGTATGCCCAGCCACCCTGCCTCCAGCTTGTCTCTCATGAGCAAGCTCTTGGCTATTTCTTCTACTTCACTTCAAAGCCTGTGTGCCGTCACTGCACACATATCCCACCAGTGTTCTCATCTCTTCCTGCGGCCTACCTTTCCAGGCCTCAGTCTGTCCCTTAGGATCTCCCTCCATGTGCTAAGAAAGCTTTGTCCCCACATAACCTCTGGAGCATGATTCTTAAACTTCCCCAAACCTCAGTTTCTCCTTTATGGAATGAGATAGTAATTTTTTTCTCTCGATGTGGCTGGCTTTGGCAATAATTTAGGAAAAAACACTTTGGAAACTGAAAAGGCTGTGTTTATATGCAAGGAATCAAGGCAGTAACCCAGGTCTTGCCAGGAACTTTGGCTTTGATCTGGATTCTATTTCTCCAGGCCTCGAAGCTTCCATTACTCTCCTAGCTCCCTGGAAAGTAGGAATGAGAAAAAGGATCCCATTTCTGACTGTGTGTTCCCTCGTGGGACAACACCATGGATTCCAGACCTCTTAAAGCATGCTGGCTAAGTCCCCTAGTTTCACAAGTCAAGAGTTTTGGTGGTGAGATGGTTCAGCAGGCAAATGCACGTACTATCAAGCTTGATGACATGAGTCCCATCCCAAGAGCCCATATAGTGGAGGGACAGGATTTATTCCAGCAAGCTGTCCTGACCTTCCCAAGTATGCCATGGCATGTGTGCACATCCACCCCCACACACAAGATAAATAAATGTTTAAAAACATAAACAAGTTTATTGTCTGTCTTGTTTGTTTGTTTTGAGACAGGGTTTCTCTGTGTAGCTCTGATTGTCCTGCAGCTCGATCTGTAGACCAGGCTCGTCTTGAACTCACAGAGATCCTCCTGTCTCTGCCTCCCGAGTGCTGGGATTAAAGGTGTGCACCACCACCGCCCTGAAAGTTTATTGCTTTGAAAAGTTAAATTATTTGTCCTACATCACAATCAATGTCAGAAGAACAGAACTAAGGCCTCCCAGTCTCTTGTAATTCTCTTTCAAATTACAGCCTAGCACTAAGCTTTGTCTCCCTTGAATCCTCCAGCCAGCACAACTTGCCCCTGAAATAAGATACAATCCTTAGGGGTCTCAAGAGACGGCTCAAAGGTTAAGAGCACTGGCTGCTCTTCTAAAGGTTCTGAGTTCAATTCCCAGCACCCATAAGGTGGCTCACAACCACCTATAATTGCCCTCTTCTGGCCTGCAGCCATACATGCAGGCAGAACATTGTATACATAATAAATAAATTTTAAAAAAAAGATACAATCCTTGGAAATCCCTTCTTTCCTTTCTCTCTCTCCCTCCCCTGACCCTTACCTTTTCTTTCTTTCACAGGGTCTTACTATCTAGCCCTGGCTGGCCTGGAACTCATTATATAGCTCAGGCTGACCCTCAATGCACAGAGATTTGCCTGCCTCTGTCTTCCAAGTGCTGGGATTAAAGGTGTTCACTGTCATACCTGACTTTTTTCTCTTTTTGAGACGAGGTCTCATGTGTCCCAGGTTGCCCTCAAACACATTATATAGCCAAGGATGATTTTAAATTTCTGATCACGCTGGGTGGCGGTGGTGGTGGTGGCGGCGGCGGCGGCGGCGGTAGCAGTAGCAGCAGCAGCAGCAGCAGCAGCAGCGCACGCCTTTAATCCCAGCATTGGGGAGGCAGAGCCAGGCGGATCTCTGTGAGTTCGAGGCCAGCCTGGTATACAGAGCGAGATCTAGGACAGGCACCAAAACTACACAGAGAAACCCTGTCTCGAAACAACAACAACAAAAAATTTCTGATCATCCTGCCTCTACCAGCTGCTGGGATTATACGCATGTACTTCCAAGCCTATTTTTATAGATGTTCCTTTCCGGCTCCACTTGTCAGGGCCTCCCCAAAGCTGACTGCTACTCTCCACTCTTCTCCATTCTCCATGCGTCATCAGCCTCTCTTTCTCTCCCTCCCTGCCCAGCATTCACAAGAAATTGGATTTGTACGTCTGCCAGGCCTCAAGGTTTAGTCTCTGGCCAATGGCGTACGACGGCCACACTGTCTTCTTCATTCTGTTCCTTGGTGCTCTGGATCATCTTGCTTGCCCTGTGTGTGTGGTGTTTGGTAAACACGGCACTGAATGGGCTGGATTTCCCTCCTTGTCAGCCCCCTCTCGGGCCACCTACCTCTTTACGAAGGTGGGTGATGATCTTCTGTGGCGATGAGATGACCTCTCCACTACTGGTTCGAAGGGCAGGCAGAGTTCCTGATATGGAGAAAGAGGTATGTCCACAAGCTCCTTGCTTGCCTGCTCACGCTTATCTGCGTCCCACCCCTGCCTCCTGCTCCTCCCCTTTCTCACAGGGACACTGTATACCTGAAGGGCTCTGCCAAGGGTTGCTGATCTTATGTACCTTCAGCGGAGCACCTGTGAATCTGGTATAGGTCTGCAGGGAAGGAAGCAGAAGGTAGAGAGAGGCCAGGACATGGCTTCACAACGTACATTAAGTGCCTCGAGCTACACTTAGCACTTCTCTACCAAGAGGAGGGGTGGAAGGAGGGAGACATTTCTGTTTACCAATGGACAAACGGGACTCAGAGATTCGGGAAGTGTTCACCTGTCCATAGCCACAGTCACAATTAGGACAACCTACCTCCTCCTGCCATCTACATGGTAAACCCTATTCTTAAAAGCTTTTGCCGATCTCCCTCCTCCTGGAAGTGCTGACTTAACTCTGGCAGTCTCTGTGCTCTGTTCCTACTTCTCCATCATATTCCTGAGCATTTTATTATCTGCTTACGTGTCTGCCTTTCTGTAAACAACTTCGACGTGTGTGTGTGTGTGTGTGTGTGTGTGTGTGTGTGTGGGAGCTCAAAATCTTACTGCAAGGCAATGTTTGACATCTGTAAGAAGCATGATAACTGCTTTTATAATCCCGAAGGATCCCGAGCGAAGCGAAGCAAATCTGTCTAGTTCCAGAGCTTTCCCTACAGTCCAGCTGTGGGCTGCCTGGTCTACGAAAACTAGACTCAAAAAAACTCTTAGTGAAACGGAGGGTGAAGGAGGCCGAGAGGGCAGAAATGCCAAGTCCAAGAAGACGACTGAGACTGTCCACAATACCCCAAGGTCACCCAGCTAATAAATGGATAAGCAAGGTCTAAAACCCATCTTCTAAAACCCCGATCAGACCCAACTTCCAGCGCTACCACGAAACCCGTCCTAGGAAATCATAGCCTAAGCCACTGAGCCCTTGGCGGCCTTGGACTGCCTCAGTTTCCTCTCAGCGCGCTCGTGCTTGGGCTGCCGGCAAAGTGCGGGCCCCCTCCCCGGGCCTCCGGGGCGTAGCAGCGGACGCCGGCGTCACCGCTCACCAGCACGGCCAGACTGTCCAGGTCCACCGACGGGAGCCCCCAGCCCCCCGACCAGCAGAAGAGCTCCATGGGCGCCGCCATCTTGCACACCCTCTGACCCGGAAGCGCCTCCCCATAAGTGCCCGCCTTCCCTGGCCGGGGGCCGGCCCCGGCCGCCGCCTCTTGGGCCGCGGGGGGTTGGGGTCTGGGGGCGGC